GTATTGCACCTTGATGCTTGAGTTTGTTGTTCATTTCCTTTTGCTTAAACTGGGAATGGGGGAGGAAGGAGGAAATTATGCAACAGTGAATACAATTTTTTATAAAGTGAGCTGGGTGGGTAAGGGGGAAAATGTGCAACAATGAATGAATGAAAAGCCAATTTTCCTTGTAAACTTTTGTTAGAATCACAATAAAAAACATGCCAAGTTTGGCACTTTTGATTTTCTGACTCCAGCTCTTTGCATATTTTATTATACTTTGCTTTGTCTTCCTGAGCTGCCCTTTGAAATCTTCTGTTCAGCTCCTTAACTTCTTTTTTTTTTGTAAGTTACTTTTTAAAAATTAATTTTAATGAAAGTTTACAGAGACTTTGGATTTCCACTCATTCATTGTTGTACTTTTCCTCCTGCTCAACCTCCCCGTACCCCCTACCCTGTTCACTCTTCTCTTTGAAAAGTAAAAGAAAAATTCTTTCATTGTTACACAATCCCTCCCCACAAGTCCACTCCACTATGCAGCCTTTATTCTGGACTCCTGTCATGACAATAATACCTAATCATATATCCCTTTTAAACAGTTCTCTCCCTCATGTATTTCAATATAGTATACATTATTTATCCCATCTTTCTCAATCTCCTCCCAAACCCAATGTCAGTCTCGTTTTACAACAGTGGTGCTATGCAATATTTGTCCTTCTGTGACTGAGATATTTAACTCAGGATAATGTCCTCCAAGGCCACCCATTCTGTATAATATTTCATGAGTTCTTTGCTTTTCAATGCAACATAGAATTCCATTGTGTGAATATACCATAGCTTCTCTATCCATTCATTTGTTGATGGGCGCTAGGTTGTTTCCAACTCTTCACTATTGTGAACAAAGTCATAATAAACATGGGTGTGCATATATCTGCTTGGGTGGCAGTTATGGTCTCTTTGGGGTTTTTCCCAGTAGTGGAATTGCAGGGTGAAAGGATATTTCTATTTGCAACTTTTTGAGAAAGTGCCATACAGCCTTCCATAGTGGTTGTGCCATTTTACACTCCCACCAACAGTGAATAAGTGTTCCAGTTTCTCCACAACCTCGCCAACATTTGTTGTTTGCTCTTCTGTTAAATTTTTCTATTCTTATTGGGGTGAGATGATATCTCATAGTTGTTTTAATTTGCATCTCTCTTAGAGCTAGGGATTTTGAACATTTCTTCATGTGTTTGTGTGCCATCTGAATATCTTCTTTGGTGAAGTGTCTGTTCATATTCTGTGCCCATTTTTCAATTGGTTTGTTTACCTTTATCTTGTTTGGTGTTGATTGACTTCTGAATGCAAAAGTTGGTAAAAATCATCTATTTCTTCCTTTTTGGCTGTAGCTTTTGGTGCATATAATTGAATGATAGTGGTATTCACTGGACTTCCTTGTATGCATATCAATATTATTCTGTCACTCACAACATTATATTTCAAGATGGATCTAGAAATGACATTTTTAACTCTAAAAGTGACCCCTTTTTTCCTCATTTTTTCCACCTCCAGTATAGTAAGTAGATCATATGATTGTCTGATTCTAAGTGTCCCATGCCAACCCATCTCTTTTCACCAATACCTAGTACATCAATATTTATGCATTTCATTTCTTTCTTAACAATTTCCAGTTTCCTACATTCATACTTCTCACATTCTACATTCCAATTACTAGTATCTGCTTACAACTCTTCCTTCTCTTTTTTGTTTCCAAATTCGAGGGCTTAGCCTCAGAAGACATATCTGCTAGTCTAAGTGTGTTCTGTTGTGTGTAGAGTTTTCAAAGGCCTGTTATTTTGGAAGTGGATGGCCAGTCCTTCTTCCTGGTCTGTCTTAATTTGGATGCTCAGCTTTAGAACATCTCACACTCAAGCATTTTACAGAAAGGAGCACATGAAAGAGATTTCCCCATTATAAAAGTGTATCTCCCCTCCTTGGTGCATATGTCTTGACCTAACCCTTTCTCCTGCTCCTCCCAAATCCCCTTCCACTCTGTTCCCCATCCAGCACCTCACCACCACTCCCAGCCAACCCTTGATATGATGGCTTAGGTGTCAGTTTACTTCTGTGATGTCTAACACCTCATGCTGCTGCCTGTCTCTCTTGAGGTTAGATGGCTCTAAGTTCAGATCCCAGACACCAGGTTTAGGTTTAGGGAAAGATTTCTGTCTCAGACACTCTGGAGGAAAGATACTCACTCCTGAGCTTCTGCTCCAGGACTGTCTTAGTATGACTTAGTGCCTCTACTCTTCCATTTGCAGTAGGATTATTTCCAAGGGAAGAGTTATGTCCCCTCTAGATCTGGTATGTTTGATCTAGAGGATATCAGGCCTGAAGCCCTTGGGCCTGAAGCTGTTTAGAGTTGGAGCCCTTGTCTGAATCACCTGACTGTTGGCAAATCCTGGTGGAATTCTGGGAAGGTGAGCATTACCTGATTTTGACAGGGCAAAGATGATTCCAGAATCTTCCTGCCCTTGAAGCCCAGAAGCTAATTAGAGTATAAAAGTTGGAAATTTGAGCAAGATCTAGGAGGCGAGTTAGAGTTTGGCATGATGAGAAGTTGGGATGAAAGATGACTAACCTAAAAATCCTAACTCATTGCTGTCCCATTGGTATCCTTTCATAGCTGACTCTTCAGCAAGTTCTCAGAGGCTGTAAATAACATGGGAGGAAATTGCCTATCCTTCTCCCATGGAAGAGCCTTTGGATTTGTAGCATTACTCCTTACCTCATAGAACTCTTAGGTTAGAGTTAGCTGACTGGACAGGGTGAAATGAAGGTGGGAATGTTATACTAGATCAGTGAGCGAAGCTAGAGCTATGACTTTGGATGGGAAATAGGTTGACAGGAACCTTGGCTAAAATGTCCTTGAAATATCCAGGTGTGAGGGCTTGATAAGGTAGAATTAATAAGAATAAGTGCATTTTACATGAGCACTTACTATGCTACATGCTCATAAATTCTTATATATAGAATGCTATGCATTCTTACTTATTCATACTATGCAGAATATTGGGGATACAAGTGATGAGGAAGGCAGATATGGTCTGTCTCCAGGAGTATGAAGCCTTTTTACTAAAGAGAACTGTAGTGTGCAGATAGAGTCCCTGGGTGGCACAAAAGATGAAGTGTTTGTCTATTCCCTGAAAGATTGGTGGTTTGAACCATTATGAATCATACCTAATACCTAACATCTAACTTAGTGGTCGGTCTCTTTATACACACACCATTGTTATGAACTGGAATGTTCTCAGTAGTAGCAGGTCTTTGGTCATAAGGCATGTAAATGGGAGGATCTTGTTCTGAGGGAGAGAGGAGTCGAGGAAGACTTCCAAGAAAGTACTTTTAGGCTGGACCCAGTGAGTAATTAATTTGCATTAATTAATTATTTGGATGTGGAGGCGTAGTCGGCAGTGGGGGTGGGGAGGGGAATAGTTTTAAGCAAAGAGAACAGCACTTCAGGAAGAAGATAGGTGTAGTTTCAGAAATGAAAACAGCCCATTATGATTTAAAGCAATTCTTGTTTAAGCTCTGGACTGTTGGAAGAGAGGCCTGACTCCAGTGATCTGCTTCTAAAAGCTCACAACCTTGAAAACGTCTTGGAACATAATTCTACTCTGACATACATAGGGTAATCTTAACTTGTTAGTAACTAACAGTGATCTAAAGGGATAGAGAGTGTGGGCTAGGACAAAAGAAACATGAAAGTAAATTTGATAAAGTGGCAAAGGGCTTGATGAGGGAAGAAAAAGGCACTCTCTCCCTAAAGACATATGATGGGTACTATATAAATGTAGAATGAAAACGTAAGTTTGAAATGACAAATGTTGTCTAAGAAGTAATGGCTCAATAGGTAGAATAAAGAAATGAGCACAGGGAACTAGCTTTGAAAGGAGAGTTATTTGTTTTAGATACAAGGAGTCTGAGGTGCTGCATCCCAGTGGTTTGTCAACTATTAAGTCACACAATTTTAAGCTGCAGTTAAGAATTTTCACTAACAGAGTGGAGAGCTTTTATTTGGGAAATATTTTTAAAGGGAGAAGATGAGTGTTTGGATAGGACAGAGAAGGAGTCTCACAAATCAGAAAGAAAGTTTCAAGGACAGAGTAGTCAACAGGCTAAAATACCACTGAAAGGTCAATAAGACTAATTTACACCAAATGAGATAATGCTCTTGACAGGAGTTGCATCACATTATCCATATGAGTAGATGGAGGAGGTGGAAGGAGGCACAGTATCTGCAGTTATAAGACCTTGGCTTAGTTCTAGATGTGCCTTTTACCACATTGTGACCTTGGACAATAGTAAATATTTTCTGAGTCTCAGCTTGTTCCTTTTTAAAAAACTTTCTATTGGTTTACATGCAAAATTTCTATACATTGTGTTTCATTCCTTCATTTACATTGTTTTTCATAAAATCATTACCATATACTGGATTGTATAAAAATTAATCACCATTGATCTATGCCCATCATTATCCCTTTTCATGTTTTAAGAAGGAGAATGGCTGTAGTATTTGACACTTCAGGTATTGTGAAGTTAAAATTGTACCTATGCAACCTTCTGGATTCCTAGATAATCACAATATGCTATCATATATCACTTTTAAACTGTTCTCTCCCTCATCTGTTTCAGTTCCATATACATAATCTATCCAGTTTTTCTCAGTCTTAGTGCATTTGGGGCGGTGGGGGGTGGCAGGGCCGGGGGCAGGGGGATTGTGTACCAGTGAAGAAGCTTATCTTTTGCTTTTCAAAGAGAGGAGCGAACTGAGGGAAGGAGGGTAAAGAAAACAGTGCAACAATGAATGAATGAAAATCCAAAATATCTGTAAATGTTAATTAAAATGAATTAAAAAATAGTACCTATACAATTTTGTTAACCCCCTAAATGTATTATTAAGTTCCTAGCATGTATCAGGTGCTCAATTAAATGTTTGAATGAGTATATTTTACTACCACTATTTCTTTGTATTTTAACAGAGACCAGATGAAGAAGTTGTGGTGGATCAGGGTGGGACCAGTACAATTCTCAATATTCACTATGAGAAAGAAGAGCTGGAAGGTAAGAACTGGTTTTGTGTAATTGGGAAACTGGCAAAAGGCTTCCTGGAATGGAAAAGAACAGTGCTGGATTTGCTGTCAAAAGACCTAGGTTTGAGTTATAATTTTTCCCCACGAGTTATAAGACCCTGGGGGAAAGAACTTAATTTCTTTTAGCCTCAGTTGTATTGTTTGTTAGATAAAGGTAGGAATAATAATACCCATCCTGCCTAACTGACTGAGATTATGGTTAGGATCTGAGAAATTGTAAGACATTGGTGACTCAGTCTTGAGAATGTGAATCGTTCAGTTCAGTTTGATTCTTTTCAACTACTTAGAAACAAACACACACACACACACAGAATTTTTTCTCTTCAAGTTAAATTTACTTTTGTATTCAGAATACCATCTCATACTTGAATAAAGATAATAAATAACTATTTTCCAAAACAATTTTTTAAGTTGTGATAAATATAAAGGTAATAAAAATTCAACATTTCTATAATCTTCAGATGTACATTTCAATCATTACTCTTCTCCATTCCCAGATTATACCATTAACATAAGCTCTGTATATATGTATTTTTTTAAAAAGGGAAAAAATCCTTCATTTGGCTTTAAACCTCAATTTAACCCATGCTTCTAAAAGTGTGTTTTCCCCTATCCCTAAAGTTTGAATCTTCCTGTTGTATTTATAGTCATTTTTGCCTATTGTTTTTCATCTTAACAGGAAAAGTGCCAACAGGAACACACTTGTGCATATTCTTTAAGGGCTAACAGCACAGAGTTATATGAAACTAACAATCTGTCTAGTTCATCTTATTGACTCTTCCCTTTTCTGATTCTCCATCACAAGTTTCTCTCATGACTACTGTATGGAGTTCTGCTTCCCTTTTCCCCATGGGGCCTAGTTGGAGTGTTAGCAGTTGAGCTAACAGCTGGCTATTTCTGATTAGCTGTAGTGCTTGGCTTTATTAGAGGAAGGCTCTTGTCCAGTGCAGCTTTAATTAAATGAGAACCCACATTTGGCTGAAAAAGCTTTTGTGAAGTTTCTGCAGCATCCCCTGCAATGTTGAAGGCTATGATACAGCAACTTTCTAATGACTGAGACAGTATGTGAAATGTTCCCTGTGTACTGTTTGTTCCCTTGACTTTTTTTTTCATCAAAGTTGTACAACCCCCAAGAGAACTTGTCCTTTGGATGGTGAGAGCAAGAGCTGTAGAGGCTGACTCGGCCTCTGGGTCTGTTACCATAAGAATTTATGTGGGTGGCTTTGGTGGAGGTCATTGACGTATAACAAGGTCAAGTTTTCCAAGCTGTTTAGGCCAGAGGGAAGAATGGGGATTTCAGGATTGAGAGAAAGTTGTTGAAGAAAAGGATACACAGGTGGGAAGCTAACCTTTGTTGAGCCTTTTTGTATATTAGGCTTTGGATTAGGCACTTTAGGATTAGTTACCTCTGTATCCTCAAAACAAAACAAACCCACTGCTGTTGAGCCAGTTCCAATTTATAGTGATCCACCATCAGGTTTGTTCTTTACAGCAACCAAGGTATGAGTATCATTAGCCGTATTTTACATGTGGCAAAACTGTTCAGTGAGTCTTTTAGCATGATGGTGAGGCTGCAGTGGGTAAAACCCGCTATCCCTACTCTAACATGTTGTCTACAAGGGAGAACAGTACCTGGTGCTAACCATCCAATCTCAGTATCTTGCGCCATTGTGTAAACACTTTGCTGTTACCTCCTCATTGCCCCTGCTCTACCTCCCTCCCCTCTTATTATACCTTAGGGCACTGTTGCTCCTGTTGTAGTTGGTCTCCAGTCAGTGCCCACTGAAATATTGCCCTCAGCAAGGACTCTTGTCTACATGGGAGAAGAATAATAAACCTGGGCAGCCTCTCTGGGATTTAGGTTTCATCCTTGGAAGTTAGTTGAGTAATTGGCAGCAGAAGCAGCTTCTGAGGTTGACATCATCTGTTCCTTAAGTGCTCTCCACTTTACTGTACAAGAAAGCCCTCTGAAAATGTCATTACTTGGGGGTAATTGGTTGGAAAATGATCTTTCATAGATGGGCTTTAAAAAAAATAAGAATCTTATTTGTGTTAGCATATATATTTTAAAAGCAGGACAAATGGTGCCCACTATTCAGGTTGGATATCATTCTAAAGCAGTGTTGGAGAAGGAAAGAAGGCACTTGTACTTGCTATAAAGTTGTGTTTATGCTATGCAGTTTCACATTGACTTATCTGAAGGGAGGTAGGTCCCATGACTCAGTGACATTGTGCTTTGGGCAGATGTCTTCTCTTGAAGATATAGAATCAAGTTAGCCTTACCTTTAGATTGGCAGCACAGTTCCTTAAGTCAGAGGAAAACTACTAAACCAGATGCAATCCTGGACATGCTTACTAGTAAATGTTAGGAAATTTGGAGGACACCTGTTTGGCTGACTGACTAGAAGAGATCCATATTTGATCCAACAGAATGTGGAATTATCAAACAGTATCATTAATATCACATGCAAGCAAAATATTGCTGAAGATCATCCAGAAATGGCTAGACCCGCACATAGAGAACTGCCAGAGGTTCAGGTGAATTTTGAATAAGATTGTGGCACCAGGAATATCACTGCTGATGTCAGATGGATGCTGGCTGAACACAGAGAATACAAGAAGAGTATCTATTTTTTTAATTGACTATACAGAGCCATTTGATCATATAGATCATAACAAATTATAGCTAACATTGAGAAGAATGTGTATCCCAGCACTTGTGCTCATACAAAACCTATATTTAGACCAGGAAGCTGTTGTCTGAACAGAGCAATGGAATGCTGCATGGTTTAAAATAAAGAAAAGTGTGTGTCAGGGTTATACCCTGTCTCCATACTTATTCAGTCTATATGCTGAGCAAATAATTTAAGAAGCTGGACTCTATGAGAAAGAATGTAGCATCAGGATCAGAGGAAGACTCATCAACAACCTTCATGCAGATGATACAACCTTGCTTGCTGAAAGTAAAGAGGATTTCAGATGCTTTCTGGAGAAGACCAAAGACTACAGCCTTCCATATGGATTACATGTCAACATCAAGAAGACAAAAATTCTCACCAGTGTGCCAATAAGCAACATCATGATCTATGAAGAAAAGGTTGAAATAGTTAACAGTTTCATCTTAATTGAATCCACAGTCAATATGCTTGCTACCAGCAGTCAGGAGACCAGAGCTTAATTGAGAGCAACTCACAGCAATCCTATGAACAGTGGATTTGAACCATGTCCTATCCTCTTGCCATCCTCATCATCTCTGACACACTTGAGCCAATGCTGCAGTCATTGTATCAGTCCATCTGGTTGAGGATCTTTCTCTCTCTTGCTGATCTTCCACCTTTCCAAGCATGATATCTATTTCCAGGGGACAGCCTCACCTAGCAATATGCCTAAAATATATGAGATGAAGCTTCACCAGGCTTACACCAAAGGAGCATTCTGGCTGCACTATCTCTTAAGACATACTTGTTTGTGTGTTTGGCAGTCCATGGGATATTCAGTACTCTTCTTCAACACTACAGCTCAAAAGCTGTCAAATTCTTCTTTTGTCATCCTTATTTATTCCAGCTCACAGATGCATAGCAAATAACTGAAAAGACTTATGGCCTATGCACCTTAGTCTTTAAACTAACATCATTGCTCCTTAGTGCTTTGGACAGGTTCTTGGCAGCAGATTTTCCTAATGCCATGTATCTTGATTTCTTGACTTCTCATATCAAAGTTATTGATTGTAGATCCAAGCAAGATGAAATAATTGATAATTTCAACCTTTTCTCCATTTTTCATGCTATTGGCTATTGGCCCAGTGGTGAGACTTTTTGTCTTCTTGATGTTGAAATATAATCCATATTAAAGGCTATAGTGTTTGATCTTCTGCAACAAGTGTTTCAAGTCCTCTTTACTTTCAGCAGGGTGATTTAATCAGTTGGTGAAGGCACTTGATACCACAGCAGTGCTTTAAAAAATATATAGGCAGACACTGTCACCACTTCTATCCAACATTGTATTGGAAGTACTTACTAGGGCAATACTACAAGAGAAGGAAATAATAGACATCCAGATCAGTAAAGAGATGGTTAAACTGTTGGTGTATGCAGGTGATATGATAGTGTATCCAAGAAATCCAAGGACTCAACTGGGTAAAAAAAAACCCAACAAACTGTTAGAGTAGTGGACCAATTTATTAAGGTGGCAGGATATAAGATCGATATTCAAAGGTCAGTGGGATTCCTTTACAGTAACAAAGAACTCAGAGAAGGAAACTAAGACAACAATACCATATATGATAGCCAACCACAAACTGACATACTTGAGAATAAGCCTATCTAGAGACAAAAAAGACCTGTACAAGGAAAAGTACAGAACATTTTTGCCAGAAACAATAAAAGACCTAAATAAATGGAAAAATGTTTCCTGTTCATGGATATTGTTAGGTGCCATTGAGTTGAGTACAACTCATAGCGACTCTATGAACAAAAGACTTGAACCCTGCTCTATACCGTCACACTTTCCGACACACAAGAGATCATGGTGGCAGTCAGCAGGTCAATTCACCTGGTTGAGGGTCTTTCTCTCCTTCTCTACTCTCCACCCTTCCCAGCATCTTGTTCCTCTCAAAGGAATAGCCCCTCCTAGTAACACACCCAAAGTATGTGAAGCAAAGTTTCACCATTGTTGCCTCCAAAGAGCTCTCCAGCTGTACTCTCTTCAAGACATATCTGTTTGTTTTGTTTGCATCTATGGGATGTTTGGTGCTCTTCTCAACACCACAGCTAAAAGGCATCAATTCTTCTGTCCTTTTTCATTGTGCAGATTCTTAATCATGAATTCTTATTCATTGTCCAGCTCTCAGATCCATAGCAAGTGATTGGAAAGACTATAATCTGAATCAGAATCACCTTAGTCCTCAAACTGACATAATTACTCCTCAATAATTTGGAGAGGTTCCTAGCTGCAGATTTTCCCAGTGCAATG